AAATAGTAAATTAAAAAACTGATCCGATCGACAATTGTCGGTCCGATCGACATTTGTCGATTAAAAATTTTATTAAAAAAAAATATTGTTGTTGGCCCTTCTACGCCTTCGTATAACGACTCTATGGACGCCAAACATAATATTTATTTATAATATATGTACCTATTATGTATTAAATATAAACTCTTTTTTTGACAAAAAACAACACAATTAATTCAGACACATGTGTTAAAATATTTTTACAAAACATTAATTGTCCATAATGTGGTTACACAATTGTTTGCAAAAATCGATTTTAAATCAACAATTTTATATCAATAATTTTTAATTATTAGATTTGACAGTCAAATAATTAAAAAAATAGAATTTGTTTTTTATTGCTAAACATGTCAAATTTTACTTTTCTGATGGAATGATCATCAATTTCCTCAAAAGAAATCGGTTTTGAGTTGGGACTTAACTGGTAAATAGCATTAATAATTAAATAAAGACAACTTTTTTTATAAAATTTTACTTCTTAGCTAGAAAATAATAAATAAACTGTGCCGGTATAAATCATACTTAAATAAATTCGCCTTTATTAATTTAACTATTTTAATTAAACCTAAAATAATGCAATACTTGGCGTAGTAAATCTTTGTTTGCCAATAGATTGCAGCAACAATTGGAGATCGGAATTTTGAAGTTTTTTAATTTATAAATAAACAAAGACAATTAAATACAATTTATGTTTCTTTGTTGTTTGGTAATTATCATTCTAGCGATAATTTATTTAATAGAGGAAATATTTATAATATTAATAAAATTCACAGCGTACACAAAGACTGCTAAATGTTTAATTAAAACAATACAAATTTTATGATTTCATTAATTACAAGGAAAAATATAATGTTCACATCAGTGGCGGACTAAGTTTATCAATGGCCCGGGGCGACAAAATAAAATGGGGCCCCCAGTGTGCTTAGACGCAGTTTGTATCCCAGAAAAGTTAAAAAATAATGCTTTAATAGTATCTAAACATAATCAGGGACATACAAATTAATTACAAGTGTTTTTTAAAATAAAAACAGTTCTAGTTAAAAAATTATATAATGCAATAATCAAAATATTTTTTTAGAAATTCTAACAAGCTTATGATGTTTATAGGTTTATTTTACTTTTATATTTTACCGAAACCACGATTTTTTTTCTACTCTTTAAAGAAGGACCAATAATAATATTTTTTTCATTGAGTGTTAATCTTTATCCTAGAACTATGTAGATACAAGTAGATATGTCATTGCCATGAACTAATAATATGTACCTATGCTTATTTTTTGCATGGCGGGCCCTTAACTCCAAATTTTTCTTACTAAAAAAACCTTTCGAGGTTTGCCCCCCCTAGCGCGACCTCTGCCCCCCTTGGCCGCCACCGACCTTAATGAAACAATTTTAATTAGTTATTTTCTCTACAATAATTCCAAGCCTTGAAAACCAAGGGCTAAATGAAGGTTTTTTTAATAGTTGATGATGAAAGTTATTGTGGTTGTCTAGACTGCAAACTGGTAAAATTAACAATAAACATAGTGACAACTAAGCTTCGTTTTAAACACTAATCATATAACAATGTCTGGGAATGCCAAGATATGTGGGAATGACCTCCTGGCATTGAAACGCACAGCCAACTGCACATAATTATTTTAAAAATAGCATTAACTTCTTTTTTTAATTTACTTATAAATTCACTTTGATTTGTTTTTTTAACCAGTTTTGTGCTCTCAAGTCAACTTTACTTAAGATTCGCGAAGTATTTAAACATTGCAGTAATTGTTTTATATTTTATAAAAATAATTATGGTGTTTTAGCGTCTGAACAAAACTTGATACAAATACAGCGTGATTTATTTGTATAAATAAAAAATAAATGTTTTGATTTTTTAAATATTTTTGTTAATGATTTACACATTAAAATAATAATTTGATATTGTTTGCTAGATTTCAGATTATTTTTTTTATTATAACACAGACAGACTTAAGAATAACAAAGTTGCGAAAAAAATAATCAGCTTATTTTTATATTTATCTTGAACATGACCTAGCCAACTTAAAAACAGACATCAATTTAAAAACAATAAATCATTGATAATGTTTTCACCAAGTGTCTTATCTGTATACACTAAATAAATTTTTTTAAACTTTTAATTTCAACAAGACAAAGAAATTTCAAAATACAAAGTTAAACACAAAATTTAAGGTTATCTACTTAAAAAACACAGCATGTTGATGTAAACAGACGTTGCAATATAAAATGATGCATTTTATTATAATAATAATATATATATTTTAAACATGGCAGTAAAATGGTTTTATACTAAATTGGAGGTACCTACATACAGGGCGGCAAAATAAAAGACTGCTATATCCAATATTCATTTTGTAAACACATATTGCGAATCAATTCAGAATGAGATTTTGGAACGCCACTGTATTTATTAACAACAATGTGAGATTCATAATCAGAGACATAAACAAAATTAGTCATACACAGCGGAACAACGCTTTAAAATTTGTACGTAGTAACTCGGGAATTGACAAAACCTGCCTACTAAATCGCACAAATTAAGTGTTTTTTTTTCAACAGTAGAGGCGCTTATTTTTATTGTGTAATGACGTTTGCTTATACCCCTCCACTGTTTCGGTATAAACCAAACAACAAACAGAACACTGGCGCCCTCTTATTTTGGCAAGCCATTTAAATACATGAAGTTCGTACTCATTGTGTGGGCTTCATGGAAATTTAATTCATTTTTGCTCCGCAGTACAATAATAATGACATTTTTGTTATCGTTGACAAAAATTGATGTTTTTTAATATTTTTATTTAAATAAATTGCAACACTGTATTTCGGAAACGTAGAACTTTCGGAAACTAGTTAATAGGAAGTTTTTTTGCTTATTTTAATGCAAGAAAATTTAATCCTTTCCAATTTTTTATATAATAAATTCCCCGATTTAGGTATACAGGGTTTTCCGAAAATGGCGCCACGGTTATTAAATAAAATATATAAAATTTGTATCCAATTTTATACATTTAGTCGATTTGGGCGATTTAAGTCTAAAAAATGCTGTCTACACATCTATTTGACATAGTTGACGCCCGGGAAAAAAAAATTATATATAATCATATATAATTATATATAATTATGTATGATCATATATAAAATAATGTATGGACATATATGATTATATATGATTATTTATTTACGTATAATTGGCTTTTATATATGGTTGTATATAAATATCTATAAACATGTAGAAACATACATGGTCATACACACTTATATATATTTAAATTTATTTTAGATGAAGAACGTTTACATTTATAATATATGAACATAAATAGTCATATATATGTATGTATATGTATATATTATTATATGTGATGTAATATTATTTATTTTGGATGCAAAATACATTGATGTATACAGGGTGTTTCACAATATATGCGCAGGACTTCAGGATATGATAGCTCATCCAAAAAGATGAAAAAAGTCGCTATTAACTTACCCTCTAAAATGCACAATTTTCGAGATACAAGGTGTTGAAATTTTAGAAAAAAATTCGTTTTTTTCGAATATCTCCGGAACCGTTTATCGTACAAAAAACAGCTTTTGTAAGCATTTTCTACTCAAAATAAGCTATGTTTTGTGCCAGAAAAAAAAATTTTTTCCTCATAATTGGTAGAGATTTTTAAGGGGTAGCGGGTGTTTTTCTCCTCAACTTCTACGCCCCTGAAAAATGTACGGTTTTGAGAGGCCTATTCGAACCGCCAATGTTTTCTACACAAAGAAGGTACTCTTGATCATAAGCTCTAAAGTTGACTGTTTACGAGAAAAATCAACTTTTATGTTTAAAAACATGGTCAATTTAAAAAAAAATATTTTTTTTTACTAATTAAAGAAAATTTATTTTAACGTTAGAACAAGTTACAAAACCAAACCATAATTGCAAAATAAAAAATGATTCAAAAGTTGTCTTTGCTAAATTCTCCAAACCGTAAAGGTAACGCATTTCGAACATTTCAGCATTTGTGTAAAAAATCATTTTTTTATAGTTAAGCACTCTAAAAACGGGAAAAATGTCCTTGATTTCCTGCATGTTTATTAATGTAAATTCATTTTCTTCCTTGATGGGTACTATATGATCTATTTTAATTTCTGTGTCATAATGTAGAATAAAATTTAAATGCTGGACAGATAAATGTTAAACAATAAAGCACAAATCGTTTTCAATACGAAAAAAAAATCTTATCATCCCATAAAGAATTATATATGATCATATATAATTTTATTATATATGATCATGTATGAATTTTGGTCCCTATATATTCATATATAATTATATATGATCATAGGTGGACCAAAATTCATGTATGGTCATACATGGGCAAAATTCATACATGATCATATATAATGAAATTATATATAATTATATATTATTATATATAATTTTTTTTCCCGGGCGGATGTATTTTTTTACAGTTTTTGTCAAAAACCTCAAACCTTAAGTCATCACATCACATGGAAATTAATGACTAATGAAAATTAAAGTTAATCATTTCATATAAATAAATATTCTGATTGTATTAAAAAATGAAAACTTGAATTTATAACTTTGTTACACCTAACTAGTATTGAAATTGTTTTCTATCTTTTTATTTTAATAAATAATAGTTATTTTTTCATAATGCTAAGAAGTGAGTCTTTTCGTGCTGAGCTCGAGCGAGCACAAAAAGATACTTCTCAGCTGAATGGCATATAACATTTTATCTTAAAGGCACAGTTTTATTTGTTAAACAATACATAAAACTTACTTTATAATTATAATTACAGTTATGAAAAGTATAAACTAAGGTTAGATCTATTTATTTTGACTCTCAACCTATGCCTAATAGATCATAGGAATTTTTTAAAATGAGAATTTTTTGTTTATTTTTAACTTATTATATTTTTTTTTATTACAGGTTCTATGGTATCAAATTCCTATGATGTTGTAGGCGTTGAACCAAGATATCATCTAAGATCTGGATATGCAGGGTTACTATTTAAAAGGGAAACGAAAGACAATGTAAGTATCTTTAAAAAGTATTAATTAATTAGTTTTTATCATAAAACTCTGATTTAAAGAAGAACTATTTTAAGGTTTTTGGGAATTTTTAGTTTTTGTTAATGCTTCTAATGCTAAAAGAGTAAAGTTTATATTGGATTATTATTTGCAAAATATCTTTAAAAACATTATTATTATACGTCACTTTTTAATGTTTATTTATAAACCCGCAAACATTCTTTGAGACATATTTCGAGTAAAAGTAAAAAAATATATTTTAATTTTTATAACCGCAGAATTTTACAAAAAGTAGTAAACTTTATAAATGTGTCCAATGAAAATTGTCCATAACACTAAAAATTATTCAAAGTTTGTTTTAGATAAAAAATAACGATTCCATTTATTTAAAAAAATATGATTGAAAAAATCACTAATATCTATTTTTTATATTTTTCAGATGAGAAATTTTATTTCGAAAACAATTGGAAAAGAAAAACTGAAAAGGCACAAATCAAAAACAAAAAATAAATTAGCAACGAGTAACATAAATATAGATCAAGAGACCTTATACCAGTTTTTAAATAATCTTCTTACAAAATTATCGCAATACAAAGGTAAATATATTTAAACAATCTATTATCATTATTTAATATTTTTAAGTTCCATTGTAAAAGCTATTACATATGGGATCTGAAAGAAGAAAGAGACTTTCGGATTTTCTTTGATTTTGATAAAATATTATATCTTAAATATTAAGCTCCACTTTGAAGCTAAGAATTTTTTGTGCAAGTCTCTTCACACACAGATTATACCTAAAGTGGTCGGTAGATTTCTTGCTCCCTCCTTTTTAACTTAAAATCTTTTTTCGCTAAATATTTAACAGATTAGTGTAACCTTTATACATGCATGTAGAGAGATTTTAAATTTTGAATACCACAATTCTCTCGACTACAAACATAATTCATTTGTCGATACTAGGAAAAATTGCGAATAATTATAAATTTTTAATAATTTTAGAGCAAGCCTTAAGGGACAGCTGGAGATGTCTAACGGTATCTGATCTGGAATGCGTGCTATGCAGTAGGTGTTTCCTGGACCCGGTGGCCACCGGTTGCGGACACACCTTCTGTCGAGGATGCCTTACAAGGGTACTCGACTACGGCCTTTCGTGTCCTCTGTGCAAGTCGCAACTTACTGTTTCCGACTACGCGAGAGGTCCCACGTTCGCACTTCATCGCGCAATCAATTTCCTAGCACCTAGAGAATACAATGAAAGGATGTCGATTAGTTTGCAGGAAGGAATCATTGTAGACAAAAATTCTTATGTAAGTTGGGTTTATTTTAAGATAACACTGTAGGGAGGTAAAAATATCACAGGTAAACGCTCGGACACGTAAACTTATTTTTTGGTCATAAATTACAAATCCATGCTTGGTTTAGCTGGCTTATCAGGTCAAAATTCAAAGATATTCGAAACACCCTGTATAAATTTAATCACCCTGTATACTTTTACAAAAAAAATAATTTTGCTGGACCCACACATTAGTTCAAAAAAAAAAACAAATTCTTGCAAAATTTGAAGTTAATTGATGATAAATAAATGTTTTTTTGCTAATTTTTTTATTGAGTATAATTGAGGATATTATATTAATTGAAATTGAAGAATGTTGGCACAAGAGATGAAATATATTAATTTACAAATTATAATATACCAGTATACAGTGTGTCCCGGATCGGATTTCCGACAGGAAAAACTTTTTTAGACCTGATACAGCTAAACCGAGCTCGGATTTGGAAACTACACCAAAAATTATGTTTACGTGTCCGAGCGTTTAGCTGTGATATTTCAAGAGTTTAAATTTACCTACAGTGTAATTACATTTTCAAATATTTTAATAAGCCTTACACGTTTGGAAAATATAACCAAGAACTTCTTTAAAAGAGCAAGAGTGTGCCAGCAGTCTTGGTGGCCATTTATTGGATTTTCTGTTCTACACATAATGCCAATTTTAAAATAAAATTATTTGTAATTTTCGAGTAAATGATTAAATTTTGTATCAAATTGACACCACCCTTTTTATAATACTACTAAAAAAGGCTTAAGCCTTAAGTTTAATTAAATAATTAAATTACCCTTAAAGTGTCCTTTATTTTATATTAAATATAATTAATTTTATAAAAAAAATATTTAAAATGTATAATTTTAATTTATAATGAAACTGGCCACATTCACATAGTGTCTCAGTAAAGTAAAGTTTTAATAATAACAAAATGTTGTTTACAGATTCCAGTTTTTATTTGTACAACAGCATTCCCAAACGTAGCTTGTCCACTATACGTTTATGAACCACGTTATCGGTTAATGGCAAGGCGATGTCTACAATCACCGGCCAAACTTTTTGCAATGGCAGCCAAAGAAAATAACGGACAGAAATTTGCCTCATTTGGAACCATGTTGGAAATTAAAGATGCTGTAACATTGGAAGATGGAAGATTTATTCTTACCACTGTTGGTATTAGGAGGTTTCGAGTTGTAAACAGCGACGAAAAGGTACATTTAAATTAAATATTTGAAATTTTAAAACTAAATCTTGACAATGTTTTAGGATGGATATGATACTGCAAAAGTCCAATACATTAGAGACAATGATGTTCCTGCAGATAAATTACCAGAGTTAATAAACTTACACCAAAAGGTATATAATAAAGCTATAAAATGGATAAGATCGTTCAAGCCAAAAGTTTTATCTGAAGTAGAAAGATTAATTGGACAAATGCCAGAAGTGGAAAGTAATTGGACAGCATTGCCTGATGGTCCATCGTGGACATGGTGGTTAATGCCTTTACTACCTTTAAGTTCAAAATTACAAGTAAGTAAATTTATTTGGTACCAAATTTTGAAAAATATTAAAATATTTTTTTTTTAGTTGGGCTTCTTAAGTACGTCAAGTCTGGAAAAAAGATTGCGAGCAATAGATAAAATGTTGGAACACATGAAAGTCCGAATGAAGGCCTTAGAAGGAAGCCCGGACTCTTGTGCAGATTCTGATGATTCGTCGTCAGAATCTTGTCAATATGTTTTGCCATTTCATACCAATTAGACTTGTAAATTATTGTATAAACTATTTATTTAAATTATAATGTAATCTTATAAAAATGTGCCATTTGGCAACATAACATGCTATTATCTACAATGTATTAAATAAATCAAAAAATTAATCATTATTACAGAAACTACTAAGCTTTAACTTAAAAATTCTCTTTTTATACTATTTTATAATATTGTCTAGTGATCGTGTAATATATTATACAATGAAAGTAGATACAGTATCTTTATGTGCATTTATCAAATTGTTAACAAACCAAATTACAGAAAAAACAAATTTTGGCAATAAAGACATTAAATTTAAATATACTGTTAGTTTTTGGTCTACCCGTGAAGATATGGACAATTTAATGTGAACATTATAGTTACAATTATTATTAAATATTTATTCTATAGATAAATATATATATGTTATATGTTATTATTGACAAATTTAATAGATATATTAGAGTCAAAATACTGTAATTTATTATTCAGTATTTTACTTTTTTGTAGCTACAATCATTATTATTATTATTACTTATTACGTAAAAAGGACTAAAACTAAATATATGGGTATGCAAACACCTAAATAATTTTTTTCTGTGGCCATTGTATAATTGTATTTACGTACCAACTATTTATTATTATGTATTGCCATTATAATTTTTAAAATAGCTTTTAATTCCTATTTTAATGAGCTTACCTCTATACTATTTAAATTATTTAATACATTATATAATTTTGTGATTTGTAGTTAGGAGCTCCATCATTCGTGGAATAGGTTTTCCATTTTCTAATGTACCGTACAATCATTTTAAGGTAGAATATTTTTGAATCTTTACTGTAGAGTTAGAGTATTATATTTAAGTATGATTTGTTTACATTTGTAAATACAAATTTGTGATTTAGGTATTTACAAACTTATCGACCAAATATTTATTTTTCTACAGAATTAGTTTCTTCATATATTAATAAATATATATGTATATATATTTATACACATTCTATTTTTACGTTCTTAACAATTTTGTCCCTGCAGATTTTTGTTAAATCGATACATTTGTGATGTTAAGTTAAATCTCCTTTATGTATAAAATTTATTTAATAATTTTATAATATTTATATACCTACTACTATTAAATTAACATTTATATTTATTTTTTCTAATGTGATATTAATTTTATTATTTATCAAAATGTTTTGTTTAAATATATGATTAATGAATATTTTTCTTACTTACTACCTACTACTTACTACTTAAAATTAAACTGGATTAGGGTTGCCACCTTTTAAGCTTTGGGTTGGAGGACATGGACATTTTTTAAATGCCCGCTGCGAAAATTTTTCCAAAAAATAGGAGCGTTGCCAAAATCAAAACAAGTTCAATATTAGCTTTGTTCGCGGAGCCCATCCATGACTAGTTCCGTATCTGTATAGGGTAAATAATCACGAACCATGCTACGCATGCGCGATTCGGAACCGATCAAGAATTAACAAATCTCCGCGAACGCGTTTCTAACCGCAACCATCAGTCAGCTGTTTTGTGACAAAACTTTTTGGGGAATCTCCTTCCTAATTATTATAGTATTCAGAATTGCTAAATCGCTCTGCTAAATCATCAACAATCTCTTTGGAACAATTTCTTCTAAATATACAGTATATCTAAACTATTTTCTAAATCTTCATCACTGGATGATAGATGATCACTCATCTATAAAATAAGCAAGGAAATGAACAATGCAAGTAAAAAATAAGTATTTCAACTTACGTTTTCGTTTAACAATTTAATTAAAAACAATATAGAACATATAACCTTAAATAAACTTTAAACAATAATGAACAATACGCATGTCTGACAGCTAGTACATGCTAAAATCTTCGGATCGTTTTGACTTGTCTGTAATTAGTTCGAAACTGGTCCCGAAGGCTCCGCGAACGAGTGATCAAATGTCAAATGTTGCCGATTTTTACACCGCGAACGCTAAAATTACCAGTGCGCATGCGCAGTTGTCGCGGATTGATCACGGATGAGCTCCGCGAACAAAGCTATTAACTTTATTAACTAGAACATTAAACTAATAACTACCTATTATACCTACCTGCCTAACAGAGGCGGATTATCCTTAAGGCAAACTAGGCACGTGCCTAGGGGCGCGAGGTTACAAGGGGGCGCGATGTTTGATAAAAACGCAAGTTTTTATGAACATTGAGTAGGTATTTATTGAAGAAAGATTTACAACTTATTGGTTTGATTATTTAATCAGCACGCGCACGTGAGTTTCAGTTCTCCTACTTATCCCGCCACTGAACAGCATTACCTGTGTTTGGTGGATCCGCATGTTCACCCCGGTTGGTAAATCTCGCCTAGGAGGTCGTGGATGACAGTGTGGATGGTTAAGGCCACTCCCGGAATTTTTTTCGCCGGGCCGGGCCATACGCCCGATTTAGGCTAGTGGGGTACGGGACAAGGAGGCAAAACTAAGTACAATCCGGAATCCCCCTCAACCAGGGATTTAGTAATGCCCCCATTTATTTAGGGTTCATGAATGAGGTTTGGTTGGTTAGTACGCTGCTGGGACCTATCTTTGCTGGTCTTGTAGTCTGCTGTAATTCGGAAACTGTTGTGAGCAATTGTTTGCCCCACTGTGCGAAAACCGTTTCCTCAGTGTAGGGGTCGAGAACTTTCGATAGATAGTTGTCTTTATTTGGTGGTAGAAATTCTATTTACGATTTCTTTTTCTTTTTTAAACATTATTTATTCTATATAATTGCTCTTAACTTTTTTTTTTATTTCTATTATACAGCTAGCAGCATACAATGCCTAAAATTTAGAGGTGTTTAGTGGTTTATGTTTAAGGTAAATATCGAAACTGGTTGTTTATTTTATTTTCGTTCGTTAAGTTTTAAACATTTTAATTTTGTTGGGGCTGGCCTCTTAAGTTTATGCTTATTTATGTTTTGTGACGTTCTTACCTAATGATTGAATAATTTACACTGTTACGCTGTTTTCAGTAATAATAATTGATTATTGTTAGGTCTTTGTTGCGAATTTGCGTATTAGGTCATGCGATTAATTGGTACTTATCAGATTTTTGCAGATGATGGCCCCTTCCACTCTAGGCTAGTTTGTTCCTTACATAAGGTGATTCATATTGGCCTAGGGTTAGATCTTCAGGTATGCTGTCATTTATCACTTAATTACTTTCGTGTCTGTATGGTCTTTATTCACTATATTCACTTGTTGGGGTTGCTTTATAATGCACTAATGTAATGTTTCTATTAAGACTTTGGACATAAGTAAATGCCAGGACACGTGTACTTACCCTAATAATATTTGTGTGTGTGTTACTTCTTTATGCAAAAACTACTACTTCCAAGCACCATCTAAGAACATTCCCACTGGGAATTTCCCAGTGAATATTCATAACGCATTTTAAAAAGCACTAGGCAACTCACACCTGTGTAGTAAAAAATATTTCGGTGTAAAGTTACCAAATGGAGTGGTAAAATCATTTGGTGTTAATTTATACACTAAAATTGGTCAAAAATATTAAGTGTTTATTTTAAATTGTGGTAAAATTCATTCGTTTTAATTTAAATTTATTTTACACAGCACCGTGTCAATCTAGTGTTAATTTAAATATAAACTCGACGCAGTGTACATTTTACACTATTATTTGTTGACAGCTACACACATTGTGGTAAAAAAAAGTCACGTAGTCATCACCATTTGCTAACGGCAAGGAAGCGATCAGTATTCCGAGTGCAGTTGATGGTAGTTTACCTATGACCATGGTTTTTAAATTAAAATTCAGTGGTCGGGTAAAGTGGTGCAGTGTGACAGTGGATGCAACTTATTTTTGTGATATAATATGTTTTTTTTACCTGTGATTTTTAAGTGAAATATGAAATTTAGTAAAATTTTAAGTTTTTTGAGCTAGTGAAAAATCATATTTAACTTATATACCTATATAAGCTAAATATGGTTTTGCACAAACTGGAAAAAACTTAAAATATTAAGTACTACTTTTCATTCAAATAAAAAAAAATTATTAACACTTCTTGGGTATAAGAATACACCTAAGTAGTATTAATCATTTTTTTTTAAATTTTATGCCAAAGCCTATTTGTATTCATATCTAATAGTTTGTAAGTAATATAAAATATACTTTATTTTACATTACATGCTGTGTTTAATATTAAAACACCCACTATTTTTATCACCTACACGTAACACCTACATGTGTAGTAAATTACACCAAATTGAGCATTTTCTACTCTTGAACGGAGTTCTTTTACCAATATTGCGTGTTGCTTTTACCCCTAAGAGTGTATTATATTTGATGATTTTTACACTGTTGCGAGTTTTTTGTACGAATAGTACGTGTAGATTTTTAACCAATTAAAAAGGGTAAAATTTACCAAATTGTATGTGGTTAGATATACCATTTCTAGTGTGGACCTATATAGACCACTTTTGGTGTTGTTTTTTACCAGAAATTTTTTACTGTGCACTATACAGATACAGGCCAACATAATTTTTTATTTCCACCTTCTTAGTAAATGACATTTTATAGGTTAATTTGGTTGTTTTTGTATCCAAGTAAACGATACATTATGGGAACAGACCTGTAATATTTTACGGGCTTGTATAATAGACCTGTAAAGTTTTACAGGCTTGTAGAAAAGCAATTTATAAAATAAAATGTCATGTTTGACACATTAATTAAAATTTTAAATTTAAAAATCGTTATCTAAAGGTGAAAATAAAAGTTTGTACGTATCACGCTTTGCAATTAATCTTTACTAGGCTCACTGGATTATGGGGTTCGCTCCTGCGTCGCTCATCCCACAAATTTCCAGCTCGCCCGTAAAGATTCATTTACAAAGCTTGATACGTAAATAACTATTATTGTTTGCAAGCCTGTTATTTTATTGGTTTACCGAGAAAAATATTTTTGTCAGAGCACAATAAAATACATAGAAAGGAGGACATATTTCATTTAAAGGAGGACAAAGGACATGATCTTATCAAAAGAGGACTGTCCTCCACAAAGGAGGGCAGGTGGCAACCCTAAACTGGATACAAAAATTATATTTGTTACAAGTGAAATATATTATATATATAAATAATAATATTTATTTAGCCATGTATATTAGGGTATCCCTTATTTTTATTTTTTTTACGCAAACCGGGTATGCCATACCCTCTAATTATATTTATTACGTGTTTATATACTCCCAGTAAAAATTTCAGCTCATTCTATAAACGGGAACCCGTGCCGACTTGCATCTGAACCCTCCGTTAGCCAACGTTGATAAAAATGTATATTTTCACAGGGAGTGGCTAGTTACCCGGAAGGGTCTGGTGAATA